TTATTTCCTCCATTCTTTTTTACTCAGTGATTAAGTACTTGATGTATATTTACTGGGCCAAGGCCAGATACCTAAAAGATCAATTAGAGTAGAGAAAGATGGTTGATTTTACTCAAAAAAAGCTCAATTATTAATATAATTTTTGAGTCTGAATTTCTAAAATAAGATTCCCTGAACTTTTCACATTGAAAGCCTTGGAAAGCATGATATACGTTCTGGAAGGTCACACTATGTCAGTCTCCTGGCATTGGGGCCAGCTAATGAAATTAAATGCTAATGTGTTTCAACAATCTTAAATTAGGCTTTTGACACTAGAAAAGAAGAGCTAGTTCTAGGTGCTGAATTTATTAACTGACACTAAGATGCCTGTGCCTTTATGAATTAGTTTTCATTTGTATATTTATATGTGTTTATTTATTTAACAGATTCCTAATCATCAAATTGTTGATTGAAAGACTGATCATAAACCAATGCTGGTATTGCACCTTCTGGAACCACGGGCTTGAGGAAACCCCCAGGATGACTTCTCCTTGCCTTCCTTTTTTCTCTGCTTGCATCAGTGTGGACTCCTAGAACATGCGACCTGCCTCGAGAAAATGCAGTTTTCAAAAACAGGCTCAGCATTCAGCCTCCAAAGAATGAGAAGACATCCTCCAAGCATATAAACAATTGTTTTGGTTTCCTTTGAAAAAGCATCTACTTGCTTCAGTTGGGAAGGTGCCCATTCCACTCTGCCTTAGTCACACAGCAGGGTGCTACTGTGGGGCCATCTCTGAGCAGTGGACTCAAAAGCATTTTCAGGCATGTCAGAGAAGGGAGGACTCACTAGAATTAGCAAACAAAACCACCCTGACATCCTCCTTCAGGAACACGGGGAGCAGAGGCCAAAGCACTAAGGGGAAGGCGCATACCCAAGATGATTGAATGAAGAAAATATGGAGGAACTGTTACATGTTTGGTACTAAGTCATTTTCAGGGGATTGAAAGACTATTGCTGGATTTCATGATGCTGACTGGTGTTAGCTGATTAACCCATGTAAATAGGCACTTAAATAGAAGCAGGAAGGGGAGAGAAAGACTGGCTTCTGGACTTCCTCCCTGATCCCCACCCCTTACATATCACCTGCAGTGGCCAGAATTAGGAAATGAGAATGAGCCCAATGTAAGACAGTGCTGGCTGCCATTACCTGGTCACATTGAAATTAGTGGTTTAATTCTGGTTGTAGCTTGTGTAGATATAGCAGAAAAATAGGAAAACCTACCATCTCAGTGAGCACCAGCTGCCTCCCAAAGGAGGGGCAGCCATGCTTATATTTTTATGGTTACAAAGGCACAAAATTATTATCAACCTAACTAAAACATTCCTTTTCTCTTCTGAATTATCATGGAGTTTTCCAATTCTCTCTTTTGGAGTGTAGATTTTTTTTTTCAAATGCTTTAATGATGTAAAATATTTATTTTTTACTTATTCTGGAAGATCTGGCTGAAGGATTATTCATGGAACAGGAAGAAGCGTAAGGACTATCAAGGTCATCTTTGTTGAGAGTCTTCGTGACTGTAAGATTGTAAATACAGATTATTTATTAACTCTGTTCTGCCTGGAATTTAGGCTTCATATGGAAAGGGTTTGAGAGCAAGTAGCTGAGATTTATCAGCAAATCTCTTGCAAGAAAGACACAAGGAAAATTAGCCTAACGAGCTGCTCTTCCCCTTATGCTCAGAGTGGATGCTATGGGATTCTTTTTTCTTTGTTTTGTCTTTTCAAGGGGAATTATTCGTTATCCATTTGCAAATGTTCTGCATTGCAAGCCATGAGGTCTTCGATACTGTTTTACCCCATCCCACGTGCCTATTTCCAGGGAGAAGGAAAGCATATACACTTCTTTCTTTCTTTTTTCCAAAAGAGAAAAAAAATGACAAAAGGTGAAACTTACATACAAATATTACCTCATTTGTTGTGTGACTGAGTAAAGAATTTTTGGATCAAGAAGAAAGAGTTTAAGTGTCTAACAAACTTAAAGCTACTGTAGGACCTAAAAAGTCAATGTTGTACATAGTATGAAAGTTCTGCAGAGAAGTATTCCCAATAAGGAAATAGCATTGGAATGTTAAATACAGTTTCTGAAAGTTACGTTTTTTTTTTCTATCATCTTGTATACCATTGCTTTATTTTTATAAATTATTTTCTCATTGCCATTGAAATAGATATCTCAGATTGTGTAGATACGCTATTTAAATAATTTATCAGGAAATACTGCCTGTAGAGTTAGTATTTCTATTTTTATATAATGTTTGCACACTGAATTGAAGAATTGTTGGTTTTTTTCTTTTGTTTTGTTTTGATTTGTTTTTTTTTTTTGCTTTTGACCTGCCCCCCATTTTTACTATTTGCCAATACCTTTTTCTAGGAATGTGCTTTTTTTGTACACATTTTTATCCATTTTACATTCTAAAGCAGTGTAAGTTGTATATTACCGTTTCTTATGTACAAGGAACAACAATAAATCATATGGAAATTTATATTTATACTTACTGTATCTGTGCTTATTTGTTCCCTACTGGCTTTATGTCACGAGGTATGGGTAAATGCCACTCATAAACCAATATAGCATACACCAAAAGAAATTACAGTAAATCACACCAACATTCACACTTTGTATGTGATTTAGAAAGACAGAGTTGCTCAGGCCTAGGCTTAGAATTTGCTGGGTTTATGGAATAGAAGAACAAAATGATACATTAGCCTGCCACATCAGAAACATATAAAAGAGAAATTATCCCTAAGTCAAGGGACCCAAAGAAATAAAATTTTATATTAATGTCATTAGATGTCATCTACTGAATCCTTTTCAAACTACAGTTCTGTTTCTAAAGAGAAGAATGAAAACAAAGGGAAAAACACTGAAGCACACGCGACTCTCGCAGCTATATTTTCTGACCCACGAATGATAGCACTGGGTGGGCAACAAGATTGCATGTTGTGGAGACGCTTCGGAAATCCATGTGTATGAGGGAGGAGTTCTTGCAACGGTGAGCCAAGCATTACAGATACTGCCTTTTGAAGAAGGAATTATAAGTTTAATCAAAAAAGATGACTAAAAAAAGTAAAATTTGGAAGGAATTAATAAATGTGTGTGCGTGTGTGTGTGTGTGTGTGCGTGTGCGTGTGTGTGTGTGTGTGTAAATACAAATTATTGTGTGAAGAAAAGGCCCAAGTGTAACAATAAGCAGACCTTGATGTTTGGAAGGGCTAATCATGAATGTGGAATACTGACCAGTTAATTTCCAGTTTTAATAAAAACAAATCAAAGGAAGAAATTTTATGACTAGGTTAAAGCTCTGGCTGTGAGGTCTATTAAACACTAGACTGGCTGAGTGAGATAAAATCTTCCTTGTTGATTTTTCACTCTCATTCTATAAATCCTCATCATTCTGAGTAGCACTGATCACATATAAATGTCAATTGCCAAATGATTTTATAGTACCAAGGTGAAGAAGCAAGAACTAGAAAGTGTTGATAATAGCTGTGGAGTTAGGAGAACTGATCTAAAGGAAATAATTCTTTGAAATGGCAAAGAATTAAACAGCATCATTCATTCTCAGAAGAGTTCAACGTGTGAAGTCCTGGGAGATAATTCTAATTCATTCTTGGACAGTGAAGGAAAACTGATTTAAAATACCAAGATAAGACAGATAAAGTGACTGGAAAGAGGAGATTTTCTTCCAGGCATGTCCCAGGTTCACCCTAAGATTGACCTTCAAGTCAGCAGGTTGCACTGAAATAAAGGACTTGTTAAAAATTTAAATCACGTCACTGAGATGATAGCTTTTTTCCTCCTCCAAGAGTTTATTGTCATGCATGTGGGAGAGCTAAACTGAAGAGCAAAAACTCTAAGTCTTATAGGAATGTACAATAAAGGTGGTGCCAGTAGGTTTTTTTTTTTTTCCCCCAAGAGTCATATGTAGAAAAGCCTCCAACTGTAAGCTCCTAGATTCATTCCTAAAATTAAATTAGTTATCTCTCTTCCATAATTTTTTTTGGGGGCAGGGGGGATGGAGTCTCCCTCTGTCGCCCGGGCTGGAATGCAGCGGCGTAATCTCAGCTCACAGCAATCTCCGCCTCCCAGGTTCAAGTGATTCTCCTGCCTCAGCCTCCCGAGTACCTGGGACTACAGGCACCTACCACCATGCCTGGCTAATTTTTGTATTTTTAGTAGAGAGAGAGTTTCACCTTATTCTGGACAAACACTAAGGCCTAAAGGGAAATCCAAAATAAAAACACTTATTTTTAATAAGAACACTTTCTATCTAAATCAGGGTGACTTTTTAAAAAAAATCCAGAAGCTTTATGTTGAATTACATTACAGATTTAGTCACCAGTCCTTGTTAGAGTTACCATCAGTTGACATGCTATAGAATTGTCTCACCTCTTTTATGACAGAATTCATTACTTAAAATCACTCTATTTTCTTCCCTCTTACATAAATAACAGAAAGGCTCACTATGTCCCAAATATGATTTGCAAAAGCACACTATAAAGTCATAATCTCTGTGCAGTGCAAGTCTAGAAATACTGTTTCTTTTTCTCTACCCTGTCCCTTCCCTTTTCCCTCCCTCCCATTCTCTCTCTCTCTCCTTTGCCCTCTTATCACCTTTGCCCTCTGATTCTTCCCACCCATACCTAAAACACAGCGTACACCTTATGTCATTCCTATGAGAATCTAAAATCACGACTTTTTATTCTGCCATCCCCCAGCAAAACTCTTGGCATCAAGATAAATTATATGTAGCACACTGACATCAGCATGAACCACTGCTATTTTAAATGAACAAATACTAAACTGAAATAGAGTGTCTGGAAAAAGAAACTGCCTATCAACACACATGAAAATAGTAGCTATAGAATTTCTCATTGTAAAAAGTCAAGGAAATTCCATATAAGCAATCATAAATGTTATTCACTATCGGTAGATGAACATGTGCCGGCAAAAATAATGTTGTGTGTACATTACTCCAAATTGTATTAAAGGCACCACAATAAATAGCCTGCTCATTTTTTGATTCAGAAATAAATTGGACTTCCAATTCTAATGCCAACTCATCTTACAGAAGGTCAACATAAAATGTTGTCATGAATCTAGTTACTGACTTGTAACTAGACAAACCATCTCTCTTAAAATGGTACCACAGACTTTTTTTAAAGTAGCTCATCTTTATTTGATGCAATCTAAAAGGCCCAAACTCTGAAAGAAAATAACAAGCTATTGTTAACTATTATTAACAAAGTAATTTATCAATCATTCAGTCAAACTCTGACTTAAGAAATGTATCGTCACCAATAAGACAGTAAAGGCTCTTATAACATTGCTTTGCTGAGACAATTAATTTTGTCTTATGGCAGGCTGTATCAACGTCACAGACATGAGACAGGTGAGAAAAAGGAAACGCGGGGCCAGAGCAAAAATTCCCAGTGACCACAACGATCTGTCTGAATCACAGTAGAGTTGAAACATACAAAATTGAATACAAGACAATCACAGCACTTCAACTAGTTTGACCATAACACGTATGCGTTAAAATGTTGGTTTTTCTAACGAATCCTAATATTGTAAGATTAGCAATAAATTTAAAACAATGTTCCCAGAAATCTTAATGAACAAAAACCGTTGATCAATCACATCCCAAGTCTCAAAAATATCAAGGAAATATAATCCACAAAGAGAGACTCCAAATGTCAAAATCATTAAAGAATAGCCACCACAATGTATTCATTGAATTCAAATAATTCAATAAAAAGTGTAATTTAACTTCATTACCAACTTTCTTAAAAGCACACTCAGCAAGTCCTTGCTTAGGATTCTTTACATTCTTCTGCTGCATCTTTAGTCTCCTGCTCACCTGCACATAAAAACAAAAACCAAAGTTATTAGAGATTCAGAAATGTATGCATAATTAAGAAAATACCTGCAAAATATTAAATCCTTTAACAGATGAGGCAACAATCACATTCTCATTTAATATTTATTGAGCAGTCACCACAAGCTGCAGACAAAGTTTACAAGAAACACAGAAAGATCTGGGTGCCTACTCTCTACTCTCATTGAGCTTATAGCTCAGGGAGAACACTTCAGGTTTTGGAGCTAAAATATTATGGATGTGAAGACACACGCAGAAGTTAATATTTTGCTTTCTACTAAGTTCCTGGGAAGTAGGGTGAGACCAAAAGTAAATGTTTTATGTAGAACAGATAAGAGCTGATCGCCTTTCCTTTTCTTGAAGTGCAAAAAAAATATTGTGACATTACCAGAAATGGAGTGGAAATATATTTCTATCCTTAGTGAGAAGGTTATCAGAAAATGCAGAATTGACAATATAACTAAATTTTAAAAAGACAAAGTAACAGGAGAAACTGGAACCTTCATGCATGACTGATAGGAATGCAAAATGGTGCAGCACCTTTTGAAACAGTCTGGCAGTTCCTGAGAAGGTTACCATAGACCTGGCAATTCCACTTCTAGGTATATCCCAAGAGAAATAAAAGCATATGTCCACACAAAAACTTGTACACAAGTGTTCATATCAACATTATATATAATAGCCAAAAAGTGAAAACAACCCAAATGTCCATCAAATGATGAATGGATAAACAAAATGTGATATATCCATATAATTGACTCTTATTCAACAATAGAAAAGAATGGACTATGGATACATGCTACAACATGGATGAATCTTGAAAACATTAGGCTAAGTATAAGAAGCCAATCACAAAAGGCCATATATTGTATGATTCCATTTATATGAAATGTTCAGCTAGGCAAATTCACAGAGACCGGAAGATTAGTGATTGCCTAGGGCTGGGGTTGGAGAAAAATGGGAAGTGATTACTAATACCTACAATGTTGCATTGTGGGGGGTGAAAAAAATATAAAATTAATAGTGGTGATGGATGTACAACTCGGTAAATATACTACAAACCACTGTACACTTTTAATTGGATGAATTGTGGGAAACTGGTGAACTGTGGCTCCCAAAAAGTCACATCCTCATCCCTGGAACCTGTGAAAGGGGTCTTTCTACATGCAATTAAATTAAGCATCTTGAGATAAGATCATCCTGGATTCTCTGGCTGGGCCCTAAACTCGACAACAAGTGTTGTTATACAAAAAAGACAGAGAGAGATTAACACACACACACACAGATAGAGGGAGGCAACGTGAAGACAGAGGCAGAGCCTGGAGCAACGTGGCCACAAAGCCAGGAACGCCCACAGCCAGGAGAAGGTTTCGAAGCATGGGAGCGTTCTAGCATTCTCTCCTAGGGCCTCCAGGTGGCGTGTGGCCTTGGTGACATCTTGATTTCAAACTTCTGGCCTCCAAAACTGTGAGAGAATAAATTTCTACTGTGGTAGTTTGTTGTGACAACCATAGGAAACTAATACAAGTATATAAATTATATCTCAATAAAGCTGATATTTAAAAAAAGAATCCACCTCGTAATTAATGGCAGATGACCTGCAGTTTCAGAGCAAAGTGATAAATGTGGTGATACTGTCAATACATGGAGAAGAAATATTAAACAGGATGTAGAGGGAGGTGGGATGAATGAAAAGCAGATAACAATATCCCTTATGCATGAGGTGGGAGATGATGGGACATAATTCCACGCCTTCCTAAGTGCTATTCTCTCACTATGAGGTGTTCACCTTTTTGCCCACCCAGCGAATAACCACGCATCCTTGGAGGCTCAACTTAAATGCTACCTCCCAACCCTCTGTAGTGTTGTCTATGTACTTTGTCCTGAAGCTCTTACTATACTTGTCCCGCCCTACTGTAATTAGCTACACTTAAAATTTATCATCAGTAGACCCAGATTGAGTAATAAAATTTTTCATCAATAGATCTAGAGCAATGGTCCTCAACCGGGGGAAATTTTACCCCCAAAGAACATTTTTTGCCATGTCTGGAGACATTTTTGTTTGTCATAACTGCAGTGGACACTATGACATTAAGCAAGTAAAAGCCAGGATTCCGTTAAACACCCTACTCAAAATAAACACGTCCAGCTCAAAATGCTAACCGTGCTGAGGCTGAAAAACTCTTAGAACTTAGGAAAGCATCTAATACACAGTAGAAACTCATGAAATGTTTGTGGGGCACATGGATGAATGAATGGATGGCAGATGGACAATGAATGAAGATGACGGAGCCCTGGGGTTTTAAAGCATGGCTGCACAACAGAATCACCCAGAGTTCTCAGAAACTGACTTAAACTGCTGCTGCCAGAACCCACCCGTTGAAGCTGTTTTCATTCACTTGGGATGGAACCAAGGTGCTACTCTGTTTTAAATCTCACCAGGCCAGAGGTAAGAGGCAGCACTGGCTAAGGAACAGATAGGACAGCTTAAATGAATGCCAGGCCGGCTCAAGGCAGATGCAAGTAGAGAGACTGGACAATCAAGAGCACGCAAAGCGTAGAGAGTTCCATACTGGCTATATGTGTCTCCAAATAAAGTATTAACTAGGAAAGAGCAGAGAACTGAAGGGAGCGCCCCAGGGCATGCCTGCTCTGAGTGACTAAGAGGAAGGTTGCCCAAAAGAATGGCAATATGGACGGTTAGAGAGATCCCGAGACAATGTGGATACAGCGGTATCTTCATTAAAAAGAAATTTAAGAAGAAAAAAGCAGCAATTCAGCAGATGGAAAAGAAGATACTTTCTGTACATTATTTTCACTACCACCACCTACTTTTGATGATCCTAATGTAGAAGTAATTAGTAAACCATTTAGTCCAGAGCTTCTCACTCTTCAGCATGCACATAAATCACCTGCTGGAGTGTCTTCTGATTCAATAGGTCTGCAGTGGGCCTGGGACTCTACATTTCTAACAAGTTTCCAGCTGATGCCAACACCATTAGTCCATACATCTAGTTTACAGTCACAACAGCAGATCTTCAGTAACTTTTTACTTTACCCAATGTGAATGAAGCAACAGAATCAGAAGCTTCCAATAACTGTTGAAGTGATAAGTACATTAAAATTGATAAGTACGCTACAATTAAATATCAAAACTCTCAAGCATGTCTTTGTTCATTTTACACTGCTAAACAAAATGACAGAGAAAAGATCACTAGCAAATATTTATATGAAAAGTCTACCTCAAGAAAATTAGTTGAAAGGAAATGGAAAATGTAAATTAATCAAATATAAACTTACTGTACACTAAGGTTTTATATTAAAAATGAATTAACACTAGAAATTTCTAATAAGGCATCTCTGATATTTTGGCCAAATAAACTTTGGAAGAGGGTTGGTTTGACGACACAAAGGGAAGTTAAGTCACTAAGAGTACTGAAGAGGTAATGTGGAAAAGCCTTGGAAAAGTAATTTAACAAATAGTAACTATGAGGTCTGAAGGCACACCCTGTTTGAGACAAACAGAAAACTATTAAAGCCATGAGGAGTTAAGGACTTACCTAAGAGCAATTCAAAATATTTTTAAAGGAAAAAAGAAAAAACAGCTAATAGGGTCACTGTTTCTAGAATCTCACTGCTCTCGTGCAAACCATTAAGACTGTACTATAACAAAGAAAAGTTTCTGAAACAATCTAGCTCCTTTGAAACTGTTCAGGTGATATGAGTAAGGACATATACCCGCTTCAAACCCCTTCAAATAATACCAAAAGTCAATCCACCTACAACCAGGCCTCATTCAGCAGTTACAATCAATGGGCAAAATTTCAACCTGAAGTGTATTTAGATTATACAGTCATCATTATTAGCTAAACTTTTTCTATCTGAGGACCCCAGTAAGATGACATAATTAGCTTTCTTTCATCTAAACGGAAACCTATAGTTCTCAAGTGTTCACTGTGAAATCCTGTCACTAACATTAATTTAGCAGCATGGACATTCCATCCCAGGAACTCTGATTGCAGCAAGTCCGGATAGGTCCTTGGACACAGCTAGAAAACAAACAAACAAAAAACTCCCCTTATGATCTTGATACTCACTGTGGTTAGGAATAATGCTCTGTGGTTTGTAACAGTGCTTCTTGAACTTTATAGTCAGGAAGTATCGCCAGGGATCTTACTAAAACGAAAATTCTCATGCCTTAGGATTTGGGTGGGCCCTTAGGGGCCCTGCATTTCCAACAAGCTCCCAGTGGTTGGACTGCACCACAAGCAGAGGAGACTTACAATGTGGAATGGCAACTCAATGTCGCCAAAGGGCCAAGCACATGAAGTAGAGAGGGCTAGGTGGGGGCCTTGTCCTCTTGGAGAATACATACACCTTCTAAAGAGAGCATCTGCTATGCAGCTCCCATGGGTGGTGGCAGGACTTACTGATTTGTCAGAAATGTCAGAAATCCAGGCTTTTATGGAAAAATCTCCTGACAATGTTAAATGCTATGTAAGCCAACAAAGTCCAGACACAGAGCTAAATCATTTTATGTGAATGTCCTCATTTGATCCTCATTACAACCCTACAGGGTATTAAGCCATCTTACATCATAGGTAAGAAAACTGAGGTACGCAGGAGAGAGAGAGAGAGAGAGAATCTCCACCCAGCAGCAGAGCAAGGATTCAAGCCCAGGTCTTCCCTACCCAGAACCCACATTCCTAATCACTAGGCCACATCCCACTAGTGGGTTCAGGGCCATCTTCCCTCTGCTAAGCTAGGTTCTAGCCTGGGATTCTGCTACTTACTTGTACTCTCTTAGTTTGGTCCTTTAAGTAACTAATTTGCTCTTTGGTTTTATGTTCACAGTTTCAATCTAGAGTGACACCATTCCAGTTTGCTAGAGATGGAGAATTTCCTGGGTTATGGGACATTCAGTGGTAAAATCAGGACACTTCTGAGCCATCCAAGACAGTTGGCCACTCTAGTTTTCATTT